GAGACCGAGACCGAGACCGAGACCGCGGATAATAAATAACAATAATCTAAATAAACAACAGGACACTAATTACAGCTGAACAGTCTGTCCTTGAGATGTTGATGTTCATGGGGATGTGAAGGAAGTGATTGAAAGTTAGGAATCACTTGTACCTGCTTAATTGTGTCATGCGAGTGCTCTTCGTGTTTGCTTCATGCCATAAATTACAACATGGCAACAGAATTGTTATTGTCACAATCAATTAAAAAAATTGGAAACAACCTAATGTTAATAAGGGAAAAACCTTAATTGATGAACTCCATATATTTTTGCCACTTTTTTTTTTTTTTTTTAAATATTGTTCAACTACTATAAAGTGTAAATCTGATGAAGAAACTCTAACTTAGGAGTACGACAATTTGTACTAGTGTTTGCAAAACTTGAACATGTTGAAACTTGACAAAAGTAAAAAAATAAAGGTGGATGTTTCATCTGTTATAGGAACTCGGACCCTAAACTCCACAGCCACCCCTTGGTTTCAGCAATGACCACTAACGGATATTTAAATGCAACTTTAATTTTACATTGGACCTCCTTGTAAACCTGATTCGAAAAAAATTTGGAGCAAGAAAATATTGATTTATTTTTTAAAATTTCAGTCATGGAATATAGATTTGTACATGTAGACCAAAACATTGAGAGATGGTGGCCAGACAGATATGGATTGGTCTGTCCCCCCCCCTCCCTCTTTGTGATTCTCCTTCCAACCCTGCATGTTTGTGTGTCCCCTACATGTTTGTTTCTTCAGTTGTTCCTCTGTCATTTACCTCTGAAGAAGGCCTGGCTGAGGCTGAAATGTAATGCCACTTTATTTTTGTTTAATGTCAATACCATTACATGAACTATAGAAGTTCGATGAACCATATTCTTCTGTTAACCTGCCCGCCGTCATCATCGCCATTAGCCTATTTGAGAATCATGGCCGACACAATAGAAGGGCGCTGTCACAAACTGAATGTGGTGGGTGAGATGTACTTTTAGGATTCATGGCTCAGTGCCCACGCCTCTCTGTGTTTTTTACCGTGCCATCGTATCGTCCGCATCGGCTACTTTGCTGGGCAATTTACTTGAATATTTTAGTGATTAACAAGTACGACATATTGCCAATATATTAATAGTTTATTGTGATGGCTGTAAACAGCATATAGCGATTAATGGAACACAATTCTTCTCGACTCATGCAAATGCAATTGACATTTAGGAAGGAGACGAGACAGGCAATTAGACTCTATTTTTGTGTGACCATGGCAGTAGCTCAATTTGTGTGATCACAGATGAAAAGATGAATACATGGCGAGTCAAAAAGAAAGTGACCGTATGATAAAAAAAATGGCACGCTCCATTTTGTAAAAAATATAATTGGAATAAAGAACATGTTATTGAGTTTAGTAACTGTGAACATTTCACGTAATTTGCATACTCTCTTCCCAAGTCTTGTCTATTTAATAAAGAGATCACAAAATTCAGCTGTCCACCACTAATACCAATTTAACGGTCTACGAATTGATGAATATCCATTAATAAATATAATGAAAAAAAAACGTTTTCCCGCCTCCACGAATAAAGGAAAAATTGAAAAGGAAAATAGAAAAAAAATCACCAATATTTCTAGGGAAAAAGAGTTGAATTGTTCCCCATATTCAAAATACAAAATCTGACGGTAAAAATAATGTTTCAGTCTTGATTCATAAGATTTAAATCTCAGTTGTATTTGGAATCAATGAGGATGGCTATAAAGTGCTTGTTTCAACAGATCATCCCACAATAAAAACGAGAAGTAAGAAGAGGAGCAATGGTTATTGGACTATGCCTCACTCACTAGAAAGTGAAGAGAGACATGTCCATTAGCATCACACTGCAGTCACATTTGCCCTAAACTGATTCTTTACTTAACCCTAAAAGGGCCGGGGCGGAATCCGCCCCCTTCACTTTTTGGCTGGTCTCGACTCGAGACTAGCCAAAATATCGAGACCAAAGGGGACCGAGACCGAGACCAAGACCGAGACCACAGCTCCCGAGACCGAGACCGGCAAAAAGTGGTCTCGAGACCGAGACCGAGACCGGTCTCGAGACCTACAACACTGTTGTGTACAAACATGGATGCGCCCAGCAGGAATCACCTTGTACATGAGTAAGCGCTTGAGTAATTTAATATAGCTCTATGAGTAAAACTAGCTTCCCAAGGTGATCCATATAATAGAATGCTCCATGGATCACAGAGGGGGGCTAGTTTAACTTCACCACGAGATAAAGCATTCAATATTTGTTTTAAACACTTCACCCACATATTCTGCTTGGTTTTAATATTTTAAATTATTTAAATCTTAACACAGTTAAAAGAAACTTCAATTTCAATACAAAATTGGTAGGAAATGTATTTCTCTCTTCCAAACCACCCCCTTCATGAAATGTTTGAACCTAACTCAGTGGTGCGCTCTCTTGGGAACAATAATGCGCTGCGCTCAACGCGCACACCAGCATTTGCACACAAATATAATACCGCGCCATCATCCAGGAGCTTGCGTCAAGTAGATCTGACATTGCGCACTCTGTAAGTGTCCTCCACTGCTCACTGTCTGATGCCACGTGCCAGGTGTGTTGATCTTTGATGTTCATTAGAGACACACTCTTGGAAAAAATGGTCCGGTTAACATTGTTAACTTATTTCTTATGATAGGACTGCGGTTTGGCCGAAGTCAATTGAGCGTGATCGGCTGACTGATAAGGTTTACGTACAAAACCCCGAGCCAACGAGGTTTTTGTATAGAAAGCTGCCGGACCACATTTTGCGAGAGTGTGTCTGTAATGCTTGAAGCCTGCCGGTAATGCTGAGCCTGCATACTGCCAAAGTTACCAGTGGCATCCCTACATTTTCTCGTGCAAATAGGACCCATATTTGGACCCTAATTTTATCAAATCTGCTCTTAGATAATAGCCCAAAAGCAAGGGAGATGATCCTCGGCTATATTCGCACGATTCCACCGATTTTTAAACTAGACGGTGGGGGCACTTTTCATGCAAATTAACGACTCGGACGCGTAGAAATTTTGAAACCCTCATCAAAATTATTGCGCCCGCTGTTGGTCTTTAATATTGCGCCATTCGGATATATCTTCTGTCTAGCTCACCCCCCCCCCCCCACAACCACCCCACCACCACCACACCGAAAAATAATAAGGGAATGCGTGCTCCGGAGGTTTTTATCACTCTGTTTAATACCACTTAGAGTCTGGGTGCTGATAATTACCCGAGCCGGAGGCGATGGTAATTATCAGCACCCAGACTCTAAGTGGTCTTAAACAGAGTTATAAATACCGACGGAGCACATATTTATTCCCATTCATAAATACCTTTTCGGTAAAAAAAAATCAAATAATTCGTTCAAAACATCCCGATTTTGTTCAACAAATTCACTTCATGCTTTTCGAAACATCCCTCTTGCAAAATAGTGGAGTGTTCAGCTGGCGAGTAAGATATAAAACAACCCTTTTATGGAGATTGACGCGCGCGTATCATGTTCTGCGCGATGTCGCGCAGTACGCACCTGGCGCGTTGGGTTTGAATTTAGAACTATAAAATTCTGACTCCCTGGTAGTGTTGCGCATGCCTACGTGAGGATTGTGAACGTTCAACCAATGAAACGATAAGAGGCCCTGGATTTTTAGGAGTCCACATTTTATTGTGACACTGGAAAAGTGTTTAAGACCAGCTAGCCATGTCTTTATCATCCGTTTAAGACCGGCCACGTGACGGGCTCTCGACCAATAGGAATAGCTAAACTGTCTGAGGTATTTATGAATAGTAATTAAATACTGTTAAAAATGTGCTCGTTTATTCAGAAATTCATGAAGCATATTCAAACTGATTGGATGTTTCCAAAGTGTCTTTCCCATTTGCAAAAGTTCTTTTTAAAAGCCCATCAACCATTAGAGACACACTCTTGGAAAAAATGGTCCGGTTAACATTGTTAACTTATTTCGTATGATGGGACTGCGGTTTGGCCGAAGTCAATTGAGCGTAATCGGCTGACTGATAAGGTTTACGTACAAAACCCCAAGCCAACGAGGTTTTTGTATAGAAAGCTGCCGGACCACATTTTGCGAGAGTGTGACTGTAGTGCGCCGGTCACTGAACACAGGCACGATAATCAAGAAACGGGTCTTTTACCAAAGAAAATGTACACAAAATCACCAGTGTCTCCATGAAAGCATCTTTCAATTTTCAACTGCATAGGTTGTAAATATTGAACAGCAATATCTCTCTCTTTATTGATATTTGCCAGAAATAGTTTCAAATTCGGCAAAAAAATAGAAGTTCATTTATACCTCCAAAATTGCAATTTCGTGGCCAGAGTATTGCCATTTTGCAATAGGCTGGTTGCGGGCAAACATTACCGTTGTGATTTTTGAATTCAGGAGGTGGGATTCAGACCTATACACGTCATGCATATAATTTGCCTCCATTACACGGAGTTCCGTGTATGGAAGATTCACCGCTAGCTACCGGACCCCATTTTTGAAGTCCGAAGGACAATGGGGTCAGGGAACCAGACTAGTTCCACGATTGCTTCGTAAAGCGCACGCGTATACTGTCGCAAGGGTAACCCATGCGTATTTACCCTGTTGAATAACATCTGGCACGTGACTGGGCCAGTGAGAATTCGGCTCTCGATTACATTTGCACACATTTACATTGATCAAATTCTGGCCTATATGTCATTCGTCTGTTGTCGATTGTGACTTGTTGATCAATAAATCTAGTCGTGCCTTTATTGTCAGATTAGAACGACCTACGATCGTCGTTCGCTGTTTGCAACACACTCTGAAACTGTTTCGAAGTACGCTATGTTGTAAGCGTTTATAGCTGAGCAAAGTAAAACAAAACAAATCGGCATGAATTTTCCTATTTATCACCCAAGACATTGTCGTCTTGTTTGGTGCCTCGCTCTTTTTGTTGTCTGCATGGTTCAGAGCGGAGCTGGCTCTAATCTCCCTACCGTGAAATCTTCGGATTTCACGGCTGCTTCACAGTTCAACAGCACCGTCAAATATCTAGTGATTCGGTCAAGCCAACGAGCCTCCTACCTGAGGTGTGCCGCGGCCTGCCTCAAGGAAGAAGACTGCAAATACTTCGGTTATACCAAAGATACCAGACGGTGTGAATTGATCGATGACTCGATCGTTTCAGTCAACGAAGAGAAGTTGAAATACTTCAAAAGAAATGGTGAGATTGTGTTTTTGTTTCATTTCAAAGCTAATACAAAAAGCAAAACTTTAGGGGATTTTTGTTTCTACAATTATTGAAATCCTTGTAAGCTGTTGAAGCATATGCTGTATAGTTAATAAGCATGTGTATCTTTGTTTCCCAAGATGCTTGTGACAAGTACAGAGTGTAATTTACAGGCTACTTATTTGGGTCCACCTTTTACTGAAGAGGAAACACACGTTGGATTTAAAAACCTTTTTGATGTACTTATTTGGTTTAATCATTGATTTCGAGGTTGTACCGATTGTACCGCTCTTACTTGAAGCAGCGTGTTTCCCCGCCAGCAGCTGCCGCAGCAAGTCGCTCGTTGCCCGCTGTACTAGCGCCACATACACAGTCACGCGCGCCGTATACGCGTAGTACCCTGTGATATATGGCCATCGTGACTAGCGTTGTGCATACCTAAATTCTCCGTTATGTTTAAGAATCATCGACCTGAAATATAGTTGAGATTAATTAATAAATAAATCAGACCCAAAATACACAACACTACATGTTTTCTATAGCGATCGATATAATTAGTACAGAAGGTTATTGACTGAATGAGAACGTGTCCCGACGCTGATTTCGGGCGCAATTCAAATAATGACTCGGCAACTAATTGCAATTGAAATCGCGATCCTAGAATATTGTTTTCTCGGAATATACAGCATTCACTGAGCTAAAACTTCATCAGGTTAGTTGTCAAGCAAACTTCTTTCGATTTTGAGCACTTTTGTTGCTTCAAACGAAAAAAATGCACAAATGACAAATGATTTACTCTGGCTTTAAGTGGATTTTAATATATGAAACTTCTCTAAACGATCGCACCTTTTCCTCAGGTGACTCTCCTTGCTCCGTGGGGGGACCTCTCGGGATGGAAGATGGTCGCATCCCGGATGAAAGCATCACAGCTTCGTCTTTTTGGCGAAGGCATTCTACTTACTCGACCAGGGCCAGACTTCATACCTTAGGTAGGCATTTTGGATTTAGTGAGATTAAAGATATGTTTCCCGTGTTATTTTCGAGTTTCACCTAGAAAAATATATTTGTTTTTTTCTTTGTTTCATTTTTTCCTATAGCAGTATCAAAGTTATTCACTTTTTAATGAGACATTGAACGCAAAAACCCACTGACGTTTGATTATTAAATTATTTCTTCACAACATTCGAATGACTAGCTTCCAGACAATTACATTCGGCTCTTACAGGGTGGGTCTATTTTTTTTTGCACAAAATGAAAAGCATTTTTCAGAGGGTTGCAGACGCTCAAAATCGAAAAAAAAGGTGTTTCTTCCGTTAAACACAAAACATTGAAAATTCGTCAGGAGAAAAATATAACATTTTTTGAAGAGCACGGTCGGCATATGTAACTTTAATCAGGTTAAATTGTGTACAGCCGTTTCATTTGTAGGCCACGGGGTTTGTGTTTCAATTGCACCATTTACTCTATACTGAAGGTATTGGCTTTTTGGATATAGTGAGATTACAGATATGTTTCCCGTGTTATTTTCGAGTTTCACCTCGAAAAAATGTATGTCATGAGGTGACAGATGGAATGTTCCATTCCACGAGGCGAAGCCGAGTGGAACTGTGGTCAGGGGAAATCTCAGTCAGTTGCCGTGTCACGCGTAGCTGCTCTATTTTCTCGTCCACACAACTGACAGCAACGCGAGGCCAGCGAACGATGGCCGTAAAAAGGGCTTCAGAAAATTCGCAATTTTCATGGCAAACCACAACCGATCCAAACAAACACAGTTGTTTTAGGTAGTTAAAGACCTACTTCATACATCCATCAAGTTATTTTTTTTCTCAAAAAAAAGAAGGATTTTGATGCATTTTGACGATTTTATTTCACGGACAAATCGACTAAAAATAAGGTCATGAAATTTCCTGTTTTTTGAGAACGACGAAAGTCTCCCAAATGTTTAGGTAATCGAAGGAAAGAGTGAACCTTCATCTACCAAAAAATCTCGTGAACGTGATGTCGTTAATATTTTAAGAATTCGATGTACACTTAATGTTTCCAATAACTTCCATTTTTCACAACGCGAAGAGATCGTCGCCATTGTAAAACATAGAGCGAGGAACCCACACACGGTGTGACCTTGTGACCCATACGCCCACTGATTGGTCGAGCTCCAGTATGGCCTGCTTAATATTCATAAGTCATTCATTGCACGTTAGCAGGTGCTATTCACAATGTTTTCGGGCCAACGTACGTCTATGGCGTGTCAAACGTTGCAATATTCAATGTTTTACAATATATATGTTGGATGTTCAATATGTGTTTGTTATCTTTTACATTTATGAGCGATGTGCATGATAATATAAGTGTGCGATGTTTTTTATTATGTGTGTGATGTTTAATTTATTATGTGCGATGTTTTACAATATATGTGTGATGTTCAATATATGTGTGCGATGTAATAACATTTATATACGATTTTCAATATATATATGCGATTTTTGACGATATATGTGCGATGTTTTCAATATTATGTTCGATGTTTTGCATTAAATGTGCGATGTTTTTCGATACAATTGTGTGTGAAGTTTTACAATGTATTTGCGATATTCTCAAATATGTGAGCAATGTTTTACAAATATGTGTGATGTTTTTCGATACAATGTTTTACAAATATGTTCGACATTTCGAGCTATTTGCATTCGATGTTTCATCGGTATGTTTGCATTCGATCTTTTGCAGTATGCATTTGATGTTTCACTTTTCATTCGATGTTTCGTTAAGAGTCACAGTCTGGTTACTAGACCGCGAAAGTCTGACTATTTTGCCTTAAGTCAGTGTATGAGACGTCAAGGGATCGCGTAAGTGATTAGAGCCAGACCTAAACGGTAAAAACCGGAATTGTGGGTAATTCTTTAAGCATACGCAATGCATTCATCATTGTTTGGGCAGTACCCCCAGTTGTGCCTGTACTACCCATAGTGTTATGTGCATCATCTATGCATTGAGAAGTGCATGACACATGGTCTGAGCTCCAAGGCCGATGTCCACCTGTCCCGTTTAATGATCCAGTTACATGATAATTTGTTAGCATAAGCTGATAGGCGACAAACAGAGTTACGTAATTCATTGGCTTATGTGGCACACGATGGAAGTTGTGTGACATTTGGGCCGAAGATAGATATTTTTTTTAAACTTGACAATATTAATATTCAGTGCAAGTTTAGTAAAGTACCAATTTAGACTTATTCTCAAGTTGCACTCTTTTTATGTAGTATAAAATGTCGAATTTCCGATCGAGTGTCGAAATTCGAGCCGGGAGCGGCACTGAGAGGGATTATAAGACCATGATATAATACGGCCGATACCGACTACAACCCGCACAAACAATTAATATGTCTGAAAAATTTCATCATTATGATTGCTCACATCATATAGCAAGGGGCTCTGTGCTTATCGGCAAAATGGGTGCGTTTTGGGCGAGCACTGTGTTCGGGTACAAAGCCCAGTTCGTTTGCTATTTTTGCAATATTTTCCCGTCCAAAACAATAGCTGAACCCGTTATCGGCCGAGGCTGCCTCATCAGACCTCGGCGGTGTGCGGGGCGCAACGAACGGCACGTACGTGCACTCTGATCAGCGAACCGCGCCTGTCACAACCGGCCGGGCACTCTCATCTCAGTCTTGGCCCTCGGCCTCAGAACGTGGCCCTTCCCGACCCGATTGCACTGTGGATTTGAAGGAATTTCAAAAGGGCTTGCCAGTGCGTCGATTTTTTTCGGGGCAGGATTCTATTTCATTCCCCTTTCGTAAGATGATTTAACACACACAAAAAACCGAAATTGTCTCATTAAAGATGGAACACATTCATTTCAAAGCTGGAAATCCGTAATTCTGATGAACGATGTATGTAAAAAAATGTTGGATTTTAACCTCAATATGAAATTAGTTGGGCTGAGACTGTTTCGATACCGAATTATTCGGGGCGCTAATAAATTAAACTTTAGATGTGCCTTAACCCATCTTTCGAATCTGGACATTTCTGAAATTAGCGATGGAACAAAATCGTCAGACTGAATTACTGGTTTTCGTTTCACCCAAAATGGCAGTGAATGTTGAAAAAAGCCGAATCTCCGTCTCATCATAAAATTAATCGGGCTGGGTTTACCAATGCACCGATTTTCTCAAGGCACTTATACATTCTTTTTCCTTCCCCCTTTCGTAAAATGATTTAAAAACAAATTAAAATTGCTGTCATTAAATGACGGACCAAATTTATTCCAAAGCCGGAAATCTGTTCTATCCGCGATGAAAAATGGGTGTTCAAGTACCTGGATGTAGGCTCGATGTGAAATGAGTTGGGCTGAGACTGTTTTGATACCGAATTATTCGCAATTCGGGGCGCTTATAATTTAAGTTTGTATGTCCTTTCTCTATGCTTAACCCATCTATCGATTTAGTTAAATTTTGCAGACATCAGCCTAATGTTTTTCTTTTCTTTGTCGGCCGTAAAGGAATCCCTCTCGGCGCAACTGTAATCCTCCCGGCTCAAATTTACAACACTCAGATATTCGACATTTTGACGTTTTGCCCTTTTGTACAAAAAATGACTGAGAGTTTAAGTTTAAAAGAAGTCTAAATATGTATACTTCACTCCTTGCACTGAATATTAATCCGTGAAGTTTTAAAAAGAAAACATCTTTTGCCAAAAAATACCTCAGTCTCTCATCATAGAGCAAGGGAGCCCTCGCGTGTGCCACTTGTTAAAGCCAACGAATTTTGTAACTCTGCTTATCTTGTTTATACAACACCGCGGTGGGCTGTTTATTCGAGAATAACCATGAAACTGCAACCGGCACGTACTGCGCCGATTGGTTTTTATAGCGCCATGCCATCACTTATGTGTAAAAGGCTGGTTTTGGCATCGTCGAGGCATGTGGGCATTATGGATGATACATGTACATGTACACGAACATACCATGTACAAAATGCAAACACATGCAGCTGGCGGTACAGCCCAAACTATGACGACTGCTTTGCGCATTGCCCTGAGATTATTCCAATATTTACCGTTTAGGTCTGGCTCTAATCACTGCGCGATCCCCTGACGTCTCATACACTGACTTTAGGCAAAATAGTCAGACTTTCGCGGTCTTGTAACTAGACTGCGACTGTCAACGAAACATCGAATGTGAAGTGAAACATCAAATGCATATTGCAAAAGATCGAATACGTATAAGATGAAATATCAAAATACAGAAATAATTAAACATCAAATATATATATTGCTCGAAATATCAAACATAAATTTGTAAAACATCGCTCACATATTTGAAAATATCACAAATATATTGTAAAACATCACACATAATTATATCGAAAACATCGCACATAAATGTAAAACATCGCACATATATATTGAACATCACACACAATATTGTAAAACATCGCACACATATATTGAACATCGCACACATATACTGAACATCACACATAAATGTAAAAGATAACACACAAACATTGAACATCGAACATATATATTGTAAAACATTGAATTTTGCAACGTTTGACACGTGTGATTGCAAATCATGAAATCTCGCAAAAGTCTTCATTTTTCAACCGGCGATTCGGACCAAACATTAGAAGTCTCCTGCACGTGTTTCACACGAAAATGAAGCGTATACTTTTCTCTATCTACTGAGCCTTGCCGTTTTTGTCGGCCATTTTTAAGAATCGAATGTACACCTAAAATAAAAACTATCGGCCCTCGATTTTGCGAGGTGACGTCATTTCATTCCCAAATCAGGACTAAATGTGTGATTGGTAAATCCCAATGCAGTGTTTTGTAATACAACAACAGCCGGGCGCGTATCGCGTAATACAGAGCACACATTCTCAAATTTGTATCCTTGTGGAGACATTTCTTTGTTCTCGTGTAGTAAAGTGTTCAATTTTGAAAGTGAAGTTTCCAAATGCTCTTATTTTAACCAGAATTAGTTTCCTTGGCTGAAATTTGGAATTAATATCCCTTTTCTAAAACTCTTCCATTTGCGACGGATCAACCCACCTTGAAAATTCCTAGTTTTTGAGTAAAACCCATATATCTATTTCGCGAAAACCTTGTGGAGACCTATTTATCTATAGAAATTGCCCTGTGGAGACCTTTACAATGTTTTGTTCCCTATTGTGTGGAGTCTCCACAAGGCTACGAAGACACGCTATAGAAAGCGCCTGCTGATTGGTCAAAATCTAGAGGTCAAGATGCGGTTGTCTTGCATAATTAATCAGCGAATCTGCTCAAAAATTATAGACCATGGCTCTATCTATTACATATACCAGTTGTGGTACGGCCGGGCCGCGAATTACTTTTTCCCAAACAACATCGTATGGATGAATAATTCTCAACTAAGAGAATGGTTCTGAAAAGAACCAGATGTATAAACTCGACGTTCCGGTCAGTATGCTCTGACCGTCTTCAGGAGAGTGCCTAAATTCTAAGAAAGTAAACACTTACCGAAGTAGCAAAAGGAAAATCGGTGAAGTGTGAAGTTGCATCCTGTGTGGATGCCAAGTAGCTGGGATCTTAGAGCAAGCTCGGTGTGCCCACTGAAGTGGAATGCAGGTATATAATTCCATGAAGTGGAACGCAGGTTGGGCCATGTGTTGGGACGGGCCATGGGTTGGGACGAATAATTCAATGACATGTTATCAACGACCAACCATTCAGATGACGGGGATTTTTTTTCAGGCGTTGTATTATCCCGAATAGTCGACTTCGATTAACACTAGTGTGACCCTGTTAGAATTTAGGCCACGAAAAATGGGACTGTTTTATTGCGGAATCTGTGACTTGGAAAAGAGAGGGAAAATAAGTTCAAAGTGATCTTCATCCAAGAACAGAATGACTAAGTTACATACTAATTCTAAACTTAAACAATATGATTAAATAAAGAAAAAAGTAGCAAGTAATTAAAACACATGTTTTTAAAGTCCAAATTATCTCAGTGCTTCTCGCTAAATCCTTGATGGCGTCCACCATCTTTGAAACGAAAAAATGTCGATTGGATTTAATTAAAATGCAAATGGAATAGAATGTGGAAACTGGAAATAGAGATCGTAAAGGGTGCTTATAAATCTTGATCGATCTGATAATTGTATCAAAATGTGACTTTCATCGCAAAGTACGGGAATCCGATTGAAGTTAATTTGATAACATTATCAGTTTCGAAATAAATTTAACAAAAAAAACCACAAAAAACACAGAATATATGAAAGGAAATTATAGCTCAACTTGTTATTATCAAATATACGATTACAAGTAAACTTTTAAAGGAGAAAACTAAATAAATTTGTCATACCTGTGAATTGGAGAAGAGACGAAAAATAAGTACATAGTGATGATCTTCATCCAAGAACAGAATGACGCTCGAGGCGCGCGAAATTCAAAATAAAAACCTAGAGGGCGCTTTGTCAAATTAAAATAACAAAAGAAGTAGATATAGTTGAATGATCTACGTCAATGAAATAAATGATTGTGTAAACATGGTATAACCCAAAATCAAGGGGGGGGGGGGTTGACAAAAATAGCGCTTATGTTTTAAAGCAACCGTGACACTGGTCTAAATAACTATGGTTGGAAGGTGTGGTTAAACAACTTCAGATTGGAGCCAGACTTACTGCCCTTTAAAAAAAACACCACGTTTTGTTTTTGAATAGGAACTGCTGCAGCCTGGTGTAATGTTGAAACTGAAGACAGTTCATGGATACAGGTTGACTTCAAAGGTATAGTCACTATCACTGGTTTGATCACCCAGGGGCGCGGAGATTACCACAACTCATGGGTGACAGAGTACCAAGTGACGTACAGTGATGACGCTCAGTCCTGGGATCACGTGACCGATGCATTTGGCACACCAGTAAAGGTAGGATCTCATCTCAGCCACGACAAACCAGCTTAATCATACACAAATAAACAATTATAATCATAATATTTATATTAACTCAACTGTATTAATCTTGAAAGTGTTACAGTTACCCGCACTCTTTTGTAAACGTATCGTTACAACAGTTCTCCAGATTTGGTAAATACATGTACAATTATAACATTTAAAAACACAAAGTATACAAGGACAATTTCCAAATATTATGGTTGTATTGGTCATATAAGTACCTCTTGACCATCCTGGCTTAAAATTAATATAGGTTTTCCCGGCTATTTTAAAAGACTGTTCATTCAAATTCACCAACCTTCACATTCAATTTCATTCACGAAAAATTTCACACGCTTTTAACAAAATCAATTTAGACATTTACCATTCAATTTTAAAGTTTGGTGACCCTCCTTAGTCACCGGGTCGATAATATTCGTCATTGCAGATCAAATTCATCAACGTTTTTGCCGAATGGCAGCATTCAGAAATCGAATTCGTCTTATATAAATCAATTAGACGAATTTGATTTCTGAATAACAAGGTTTAGCGTAGACGAGACGAAATCGAATATTCCCGTACGAACACGTGTGTTCATTGTTTGAATTGGCTTGAACTAAGTTTGAAATTGTCTTACCAAAGACGACATTAAACATTGGAAGTGCACTAAATCGATGTTGATGACCGAATTTGAATATTAGAAACTGTGAATTCGAATGATAAACGTTTTAAAATGGCTGGGAGAACCTATACATGTATGTAAATTCGCCTTGAGACAAAACTCTGGGAAATTCCTATCTGACACCGAAGGCGATCGAGCACTACCTCAATCGATATAAAGAGCTTCAGGATATTTTATTCTTGGATATTTCTTGTAAAGATAATACAAACAAAAGGTCAAACATTACATGTTATGAAAGAAATCCAAGGTGTGTGGCGTGGTGACATGCGAATTGCACCAACCAGCATTCTAACGCCGTGAACACTACTTTGCATACCAAATGCACCTGTAAAGCTCACACTTGCAATGACATAGTAATTAGCTGTTTCGGTGTACACACCGAAACAGCTCTTGTTGAGTGGTCGGGCACAACCCGACCACTGTCTAGAATTGTAACGATTAATCTTTCTTTCTTTTTTTTTCTTTTCCGTACGGCACGTTTCCGCGGGTTTTCTCTTAAACGGTATATGGTATGAACTTGTAACTTTCAATATATATCGACCCTCATCCGAAGTGGTGCATATTACTCTGACGTCATGATTACGTCATCGGGTGTCAAATTACAAGTGATTTTATCTGAAAAAGTGACCAATTACTTTCACCTATAACTCTTGAACTAAACTTTCAATGATGTTTGTATTCTGTCATCAGATAGACCATTAATCGTTAAACATTTTTTGTCGTGTACGTGAACTCGCTTGACCTTTACTTCCGGGTCTACCGGAAGGTCAAAGTAAGGTGAATTCCAAATGAAGACGTTAGCCTGACATCAAAACAAAGCAACATTTCTTCCGAACGGTTCACGGTATGATCACAAAACCTAGTGTGAACTTGTACCATGCTACGAAGATGTTATAAATTTTGTTACGTCATCATGACGTCATCAGGTATCAAATTACAAACGATTTAAGGGCAAATTTTGACAAAATAGTTTGCGTTATATCTTTTGAACTAAATAGAGTATCGTGTTCGTTTTTTCGTGAGGTTGTAGACTATGCCGTGAGAAACATTTCGTGTTCCCGGACGCAAAACCGCTTGACCTTTACTTCCGGTGTTACCGGAAGTGCAATAAAAACTGAATATAACTCAAAAGCGGAAGCATTTTACTACAGACATATATATTATGAAAGTGTTTAGTGAGGAATGCAAGACGAAAAAAAACAGTGTGATGACGTCAACATCCGAAAGGGCGCCCCCTATCGGCACATACAATATTGTTTCCTTTCTTTAATTTTCAAACCATCCGTCCAAATTTTACCAAATCGCCCCTTGATATTCTCTGATTAACCACAGATAACTTGGCAAGGTTTCACATTCATGACGTCATCAGCCCGGGAGTTACTTTAAGGAGAATTTGAAAAGGATCATAGTTTCAATTTCATTCTATCATTTGATCCCTGTCATGTCTTCGAAGTCCAAATAATGATATCCATTACAATGTTCACCTTTGGATCTCTAATGCTGTGACGTCATCAAACCGGAAGTTATGCGTTATTAATACGTCATCAAACCGGAAGTTAGGTGTTATTAATACAAACAATTATATTTCCCATAATTTCATAGGTTATTTTAACTTTACAATGAAAAACTATCCTCTCCGAACTTTATCAGTATTCACCAACCGTTTTTGACTGATGACGTCATCAAACCAGAAATAACTTTTTTGTGCACATAGAATGTTTACTGAAGTTTATCACACCGTTAACGATACCTTTTTGAAACATTGATTGTACTTGAAGGGATTGAATTTCGTGATCCTTTTTTCTACATAAACATATATTCCTAACTTAACTGGGCAGTGTATAATGAAAATGCTGTCCGCCCGACCACTCTGCGTTTGTAACTCAACAAACGCGAAACTCTTGTTTTCGTTAAAGTTTTTTTTTCCTTTTTGGCTTTTTTCGCAAAATTTGCGAAAAAGCCTTTCTTTTTTGTTCTGATTTTTTTGGCATTTTCGCAAAATTTGCGAAAAGCCTTTCTTTTTGTTCTGATTTCTTGGTTTTTTTTTTCCTTTTTGGCGCCAAAAATCCCTTAGACTTTGTACACGATTTTTCTCTGCAGCACTTTGGGTATCAATCTTTGTCAGACATCATTCAAAGTTGGCATAAGCATAGTCCCTATAGCAAAGATGTGTCCCGAAGATTGATGTCATGGTGACGTCATCGACTAATTTATTATAGATTTTTGAATATTTAATTTTTCCCATAGACTTTGTACACAGAAATTTGGAAAAAATTGTCGATTTTCAAAATGGCATTTTTGACTCTTTGCCAGTAATTCATTTGCACCAATCTTTGTCCAAGCAAAGACCCTAATTCAAACAACATTGTTTAATGATGACGTCATGATGACGTCATCCGGTGTGCATTTATAGGCAATTAAATTGTGACACTTTTAATATTTAAAAATGCATAAGAAATCAACCGTATGTGTCCGTAGCATTCTGCTACCGGCAAGTGGTAGAGTAGGTTGATGTCTTTATTTAATTTAGTGGGCGTGAAATCACGTGACCCTTGCTTCCGGTCGAAAAAGGCCAAAAGCGGAAGTGGCTTATTTTTTGAAAATGGTAATAGATATGAACTTGCTTTCAACGGTGTTAGTCTCTTGGCTAAAAGTATTCTTTAAATCATCTACCAATGACGTCATGCAATCTTCGAGCGCCCTCTATCGACAGGTTGAATATTTTCAAAAATGTATTTTGAATAGATGTCTGTGGCGAAGTTTGTCGGAATCGCCCAAATATTGGTGTATATGATGACCTTGACCCACTTAAGACGTGTGCGAAGTTTTAGGCGTATGACTCATCAGACCAGAAGTTCCAGTGAAAATACCTTTCTTTTTTTCAAAAATTGCTAACAAATCAATCCGTACAGATATAATCTTGAATTGCCCATTAAATGATAGCGTTAACATTTGCCTCAACATTGCCAAGTTTCCAGCTTGTCAAATTGTTCACACAGTTGACGCGGCGTCGGCCAAAAATATCCTTGCGCAAGTTGCAGCAGAGAGACTAAAAATGCCTTGTCCAAAACGAGCATAAACCGCAAGTGTGTGCATGTATACATTGACCAGATTCGGCATCGCCTGCTTCCCATACACCACACATGCACGTGGTCGTGAGGGCGTGTTTTATCAGGACTTCAGGTAAAACTAGAAATTGTGGTTGTGAACAACCACAGAGCTGTTCCCAATTTTGAATGTCTTTTGAACCAATAGACATATAACTAGAGATCTATGTCTGTTTGCAACAGAGCATAGGGCTTTTCCGCATTATGATTTGTTTTTATCAATAATACGTCCCTGACTATGCATGAACATAAAATCTGTCAAAGTTAGCCGGAAATCGGCAAAACGGTCACTGTGGACAGGATTTGACCTGAACAACACGTGCGCAACGTGCTTACTGACATACGATATGTACCACGTACGTGCATGTACATGTACATGTACATTGTGGACGTCCTGTGCATGTTTTAAAGCAGAGGTATTGTACACCTGAAGTTTTAAGCGTGCGCAGGGCATGTCGGAGTTTGCTTATTGCCTCGAAGCTTTAAAATCTTTTAGACCTACCCTTAAATCGACAATTAAAGTGAAAACTAATATAAAAACTGCCATGGTTGATTTTTCAGAAATTTTCAAAGGAAAAAGGGTCTTTTCATTATAGCTTCCGGTCTGATGACGTAATACACCTACAACTTCGCACACGTCTTAAGTGGGTCAAGGTCATCATATACACCAATTTTTAGGCGATTTCGACAAACTTCGCCACAGACATCTATTCAATATACATTTTTGAAAATTTTCAACCTGTCGCTAGAGGGCGCTCAAAGATTGCATGACGTCATCGGTAGATGATTTGAAGAATACTATCAGCCAAGGGATTAACACCGTTGAAAGCAAGTTCATATCTATTACCATTTTCAAATAATAAGCCACTTCCGCTTTTGGCCTTTTTCGACCGGAAGCAAGGTTCACGTGATTGCACGCACACTGAATGAAATAAAGACATCAACCTACTCTACCACTTGTCAGCAACAGAATGCTGCGGACGCGTACGGTTAATTTCTTATGCATTTTTAAATATTAAAAGTGTCACAATTTAATTGCCTATAAATAAACACCGGATGACGTCATCATGACGTCATCATTACACAATGTTGTTTGAACTGGGGTCTTTGCTTGGACAAAGAGTGGTGTAAATGAATTACAGGCAAAGAGTCGAAAATGCCCTTGGAAAATCGACAATTTAGTTTTAATTTCCGTGTACAAAGTCTATGGGAAAAATTAAATATTCAAAATTCTATACTAA